GGCTGTGGGGCTCAGGGCCCCACCCCGGGCTTCATTCCCATGTGGTGGGGCTTTGGCTTTCTGTCCTGAGCCCCAACAAGTCTAACACTTGTCCTGCTTGGCGGACACCCTGAAACTTGCTTGCAGCCCTCCAGGGGGCCCCAGACCCCTGGTTGAGAACCACTGATCTAAGGTATGGATTGATTGCTATAAATATACACATACTGCAAACTGTATTTAATATACAAAATCATTGCATCATTCAACAGCAGTTTACATGATAAATAGGATTAAACATATTTGATTTGAGCATTATTTAACAATTCTTATTTTATTTTGTCATTTTCCCTCTTATGTTCACTTACCTAACAAAATAAGTTTTCTCAGGGTTATTCTGATATTTACTTACACTGTAATCAGTCCTTTGTATATAGTGTAAAGGATCTGGCTGCTCTGTTATGAGTGATTATTATAACAGCATACGAAAAGTCAAAATGTCTTTATAGATAAATAGCTGTATTGGAGAAGAAGGCTTCATTAGGTTTTTGGTTTGAGTTTTTTTCCCCCATAGATGATTTTCCATGTCCTTATGGCCCTGATGAAGGCCTGAGTTATACCTTAATTTTTCTTCATTTTAAAACCTTTAGTCACCATAATTACAGACTACTTTGCTTTCACTGAGGAACAGTGGACTCCATTTGAGATCCATTAGAGTTAACCCATTATTGTCTGGAAGGATCACTGACTGTTGGTAACACGAGGTACAACATGCTAAGGCAGAGTCCAATTATTCTGCAATCATCCAAGCCTAGAATCATATTTTTTAATCAATGAAGTTTGATTAGAGCCCAGGATAGTAATTATTTTATGTTGTATTTAAATGAAACGAATAATATAAAATAAACTGTGACCCATAGTATCCCAAATAGCACTGAATTTTGTATTTGGAAAAAAATACAAAGTTGTCCATTCTAAATGTTTCAGAATGTATCCACTAAAGAAACTAGATAATAAAATATTTATACTTTCAAATATAATAATCTCATCTACAATCAATAAAAAGAAAATTTGCTCTGGTATTAATGTAATAGGAATTATTCATAGGATTCACTTGCTTGTGAGAACAGGTCCTGTAAACAGAATGCTGAACTTTATCCTTGGAAAGTATTGTTTACAAAAGTCTGTTATAACACCATGGTTCTCAGCTAGAGAGCGGGCTACAACCTGGAAGTGGATTGCATCTCCCCTGTGATTGGGTTGTGATGCACATAGTTTCTGGCAGACTAGGCTTCCCTGATTGCCCCCCTATGGTGTAATCAAATAAAGCATGAACAAATGCTTTAAAAACACAGTAAATGCAGGTATCCAAAGAGAAAAGCAAGCAGGCGGAAACACTTTGTATCCAAAACAAAGGAGTCAGAGTTTTGTTGTGTTTTTTTTTTTTAAAAGGAGGCATGAAGATAATTAACTTGTTTTCAGCTTTCCTTTTACTAGCAGAACTGAGTGTCTGAAACAAACATATGTTTTATGTAACTGCATCTTTTAAAATGAAAGAATGAAACCTGAGAAGCTACATGGATACTGCCAAAGAAGTTGAGTATGGCATTGTAGACTAAAAGTATAAACAGTGTAAACTAATGCTGGTCAGACTGTTCCAGATAAATAATTGATTCTGTGAATTTATCCTTTTTCTCATATTCAAATAAAACGTACAAACTAACCATAATTTTCATGATTTTTTTTATTTGTAATTTTTTTTCAAATGATTTTATTCAAACAAATTACAGCCTTTGGATCTATCTGCAGAGCATTTAGATTTTTCATTATTCTTTGTGTGATTGGATATCTAAGTCATATAGTATTTCTGTTTCTTGTTTAGATAACTGAATTTTTCTAAACATGAGAATAACTTAGTAATAGTGAATAAAAAATTAGTATTTTCATATATGAATACCTTTGTTCACAAGCAAATATATTTCACAAAATCTATGTGAATAGAAACAATCCATATGTTCATGGTAAAAAAAGGCCCAAACACAGCTAAAACGGAGTCATGAGTCAGAAGTGTTTTAAAACATAAATCTGGAAACTTCTCATAATCTTATGATATTACATCTTTATCTCTGATTCAGGTTCCTGAGGCAAATGTTGGAGATAAAGGCCATATTCACCCAGGCAACAAGTGTACAAAACCTGTTTTTTGGTCTACTAGCATATATTTAGAGCTGAGTGAATTATTCATAATGACTACTTTATTCTCTCTTTTTTTTCTGCTTATGGAATAACCAGTAGCATATCATGATTTCTTTGGATGTATTTTTATTAAAATTATTCAAAAGTTTTCCCAAGCATTTTAAAGTCTTTGAATTGGTCACAAACAGTGCTCTATGAGGAGTCAATATTTAGTTTCCATTAGCGCTCAAGCATATCACTTAAAAATTCTATTTCTGCAAACATTACTGCCTCTTTAACTTAAGCACTCAGATATACACAGAGTGCCTACAAAAAGAGGTGCTAAGTGGTCTGAAATGAATTGATTAAAAAAAACTATTTGAAGAAATTACTTCTTAAAAGATGTTGTGTTTTGCTAATTACTGAAATAATATCATATATTCATAAAGTTTCAAAATATTTGGTTTGTCTAAGCATGCAGGTATATATTTGTGTCTGAATGTATATGTAAATACTTGTAATTTGTTGGCAGTTCTAATTCTGTATGTAAATTGAATGTCCAATTTATAATGATAGAATATAGTAATAATACTTTGAGAGTGGTATTTGTTTAAATAATATAACTATGAGAAAATAATTCCACTAAGTATATTACAAATAGTACATATTAAAATGTCAGTGAACTTCTGTAGCTAGTGTTTTACTTATATGTTCACTTTTAATTCCATTTGATTATTTGGATTAAAAAGTAACTATCATCAAATAAGGCTCCTCAGACTCCTTTGTTGACTTTTCATGAGTAAAACCTTAGAGAAGGAAAACAACAAGTACTCATGCTGTTCCTGGAATATAACCAGAAGCCAAAAGGCTACATTAAGCTCCTTTTGCGTCTCTTTTCCTTAGTCCCCTCCTGGTTGCATTCAGTTTGCATTTTTATTGGAAGATTTCTCTTTAAATACAGGACTTCTCTTCAGATTCTCAACACTCTTTCTGCTTAAGCAGCATATGTTAATGTAAGGGAGTTTTGCAGAGCTTGTAAGGAAGTAATTACTGGTGTATTTATGAATAAACTCATACTTCTATGAGACTTCTCATGGATATCAAGGGAGAAACTGGAGGAGGGGAAAATACTCCTCGTCCTCAAGGGAGACATAAGTGTTGTTGTCTCATCTCATTTCTGAGCTTACTCTGAGTCCTAACACAAAATGTCACATATTTTGCATGCATACAATACACAGTTGTTTATATTTGGTAAAATCCTGAAAGGCAGGAAAGTGGAGATTAAAATATTTCCCTCATTTTAATCATGCTAATCCAAATTCAATGAGGTTATATGGTGTGTAAGACAGGACAAAATGTATTTTATTCTTTTCTAACATAAGAACTGTAAAAGGTATCCTATACCATATAGGGAAATTTCAGTCAAGTTCCCTTCCCCCTTTCAGCTAAATCTCTTGAAAGGTAGAGAGGGTTTATATTATAATTCCTCATTTATTACAAGTATTAGGTCCATTCCTAGTAATGCATAAATATATAGTGTAGGGATCAGTAGAAAATAGTTTTTTTTTCTCCCTTCACATTTTAAATTTTTTTTTTCATTTTACTATTCCAAAGGATTCTAAATTATACAAAAATCTGTGTCAATCAAAACTAGTACTGTGTAAAACTGCTTTGCAGTGAGTTTTAACCTCTGGGCCACATATGTAAGATATTGGATCTGAAAAGCAATAACGTGTGCAAATTTGGCACAGTCAAGAGAAAATACAAGGCATATCTAGTTACAGCTTAGTGCGTTCCTGACTTTCTTTTAAAAGGGCGGTTTCTGTCAAGTATTCAGAGTCTTTTGCCATTGTCATCTAAACAATAGGAGCTTTGCTTCCTAATGTCTGCCACTGTCCCAAATGAGGATTTTACCTGAGTAGGAATTACCGGTTCTGGCTAGTGGCGCTCCAGCTGGGGAGCAGGGTTGGGGTCTTGCCCCACTCCGCATGGCTTCCGGAAGCAGTGGCACATCTCCCCCTCTCCCGGCTCCTACATGTAGGGACAGCCAGGGGACTCCACACACTGCCCCCACCCCAAGTGCCGCCCCCCGATCTCCCATTGGCCTCTGATCACGCCTCTGCATAGGAGCCTGAGGGAGGATATGCCGCTGTTTCTGGGAGCTGCTTGAGGTAAGCACTGCCCGGAGCCTGCCCCCTGCCCCCCTTCTATGCCCCAATCCCCTGATCCCCCTCCGCCCTCTGAACCTCTCAGTCCCAGCCTGGAGCACCCTCCTTCATCCCCTGCCTCATCCCAGAGCCCGCCCCCCCCCAGCCAGAGCCCTCCCGCCCCCCCCAACCCCCAATTTCTTGAGCATTCATGGTCCGCCATACAATTTCCATACCCAGATGTGGCCCTCGGGCCAAAAAGTTTGCCCACACCTAGACTCTAGGTGGTAATTATATTGTCCAGTGAATACATTTATGCAGAGATTTGTGGCCTCTCTCATCTTCATTGCAAGAGATTTTCATAACCACTAATATATTAAACAATTATTTTTACTAATACTGTATGTCTTGAGTTTCTCTCTAGTTATTAAAATCAACATGACTAAATCTATAGTATCTGCCTTGTTAGTTAATTCTTTGGTTAGTATATATGTCTTTTCTGAGATGTGATGTTTCAAAATAAGCAGAGAAATACTAAATATTAGTTATCTGTGTGAAAGTATTGTTACCCTTGAAAGTAAAGCAGTAGTAATTATTGACTATTCATAGTTGTACTTGAGCTGAGTCAATTATATACTCTATAAAGAGATTAATAAATGATATAAAAAGAGTCCATAGCCAATCAGATTTGTGTCTTTTTAGGCAGAACAAGACAATGGTCATCCACTTCCTGCCTTTGCCAATTTACATATCGAAGTCCTGGATGAGAACAATCAGAAGCCTTACTTCACAGAATCTCTGTATGAGGGGTTTATTCTGGAGTCCTCTCCAGTGGGCACAACCATCTCTGACAACCAGAATTTGACTTCTTCACTACAAATCATAGCTTTGGACAATGATGTAGAAGAGGTGTGTTTCTCTTTCTTTTTACTAAACCATCCTTATGTGTGTTTAAAGTTTTTATAGAGGCTTAGAAATGCCCATTTTTAAACACTTAAAATGTGAGTGTAGCCTTTGAAATAAGGTAAATTATCATTTATATACAGTACACCATATACAGTCGAACAGTTTGTTTTTATTTATTCACTTATTTATAATATAGCAAGTAATTTAATGAATGAATTTGAATTATCCACAAGTAGTTAATGATTACTTTTTTTAAAGTTAAGTCATTATTTGAAATTATTTGCTGAATCATTTCTGCAGATAATCTTGATCAGTAGTGTTTTTTCATTAGTACTTCATTGTGAGTATTCAATATTTGAAATTTCAGCTGTGGTGGTTCATTTTGATTCTGCATGCATAGTGATTTACAGGTTACATGGTATCATGTATGTTTCTTAGCTGTCTGAATGTTTCCAGGTTTCCAGTGAAAGTACTTTTCTGAGTTCAAAACTGACTTTGGTTACTATTCTGTTATATTTGCTTAAAATTTGCTATTGTCATGAACGTTCCTGCCAGTGAATTTATTTGCATGTATATTTGCATAAAGTGAACACAGAAGTGGCACAGAAGTGGGTTTTTCTTCAGACAAATGTTCAGGAAATTATTTAATATATTCCCCATCTCTGAACACCACAGGCCTGATTCAGCACTGAGCTGATCCATTTTTGTGTCAGTCTGACTCCACTGACTGGGTAACACAGTGGTAATTCAGGTCCTATATGTCTCAGAGAGATTAATCCTTCAGGCCAAATTCAGCTCTACTGGAAGGGTTGCAACTTCCGTGAAGCAAAAACTTGCTTACATTAGTCTTCTCTTCTATAAATGTAGGTATGAAGTGCTAAATTCAACCCCTGGGCCTTAAATGGGAGTTGCATCTGCTTACACCAGGGTTGAATTTGGTCTGAAACATTTATATACTTGAACTATATGACATTACAGCTAAGGTTATCTGTGTACTTGGGTCAGAAGAACTTGGCAGAAGTTAGGGTTTTACAGACCCTTTAGAATGTTTTTGGATTTAAAGGTTTAAACTTTTTAAAGCTTTTTTTTTTTAAATTCACTGTTAATTTAAATGATTGCCCTTCAAGGATAATCTAATTTTTAAAGCATGTTGTTCTGACTAAGCAGAAGCCTACGCTATGTAAACTGTTATATTCAAATGCAACCTTGTCCTGTTTGTGACCATTAGAACAGTATTTTATTAATTTTATTTTATATTGTTTTTAAAAGGGGGGAAACGTAACAGTACAGAACTTGTTTTTCCAGAATTAAAACTGAACTTGAACATCAAATGTACCAAGTTTGGAATTTGGTTTAGAACTCACAATATTTTTAGGAAGAAAGAAGGCATAAAATTGGGAATGAGCAAAGAAAAGACAGGGGTCATAAAGAGTGAAGCTGAATTAAAGAGGCCAAGTCTTTAAGGTGAAGAGAAACTTGAAGATTAAGTGAGAGAAGAGGGGGAAGCCACTGTGGAGACTGAAAATATGGGGAGACAAGGTCAGTGTGTAGGGAAGTAGATACAGTTTGGCTATAGCATTTTAGACAGACCAGAGAGGAATAGGAGAGTGGAGGCTTGAGAACCTGAAATTCTATCCATTCATCCAAGTTTTTTTTTTTTTTATAATGGCACCCATCACTGTACTATCTGAGCACCTCCCATCATATGCAGTGTTTACAGCAAGACTAATAATTTATTGCTGAGCCCTCGTCTACATTAACATTCAAACTCTATTAGCACCTTTCTATTAACAGATGAAGTATGTGTACAATTGAAATTTTAGTCATGGTTTAACACGTTAATTAGGTTAACTCACATGGCCGTAAATTCTAATGTAGAGACCACACAAATGTTTGTTGCCAGTCATGTTTAATGGGCCACTTCACCTTGAATGGTTCCTTGAAATACATTAACTACTTATGCTAAACAATCTGTTCCACCTTGTATTTAGCTGTGACACTGAGTACGTTTCCTAGACCTGAAGAAGAGATCTGTGTAAGCTTAAAAGCTTGTCCATGTCACCAACAGAAGTTGGTCCAATAAAAGATATTACCTCACCTTACCATCGCATCTCTCATGTTTAACTGTAGACTACTGGGGACTAATGATTAGCAACTAAAATTTGTGCTCTTCCTACAGTAGACATTTCAGTTGTGTTATTTAACGAGTGTTAATGAAACTGTTGTTAAAACACAACTAAATTCAAGTTTGGACATATTCATGAGCCTTGTGACAAACTGTTATTGCAGTTTCAAATGTCAGTGGAGATAGAGCTTTATGCTTCTATGATTTTGGTATCCATGGGAGTTGTATGTTTGATGTGCTGAAAATCTATTTTCCTATGAATCCCAATTGTTAGTTTAATTAACTTAATGGAGTTGATTAATTTTTTATCATAGAATAAATATTCATAATACTAATCACAGACTCCTAGACTTTAAGATCAGAAGGGCCATCATGATCATCTGATCTATCTCCTGCACATTGCAGGCCACAGAATCTCACCCACCCTCTCTTGTAACAGATCCCTAACCTCTGGCTGAGTTACTGAAGTCTTCAAAACATGATTTAAAGACTTCAAGTTACAGAGAATTCACCATTTATACTACTTTAAACTTGGAAATGACCTATGCTGCATAGAAAGGCGAAGACCCCCCAGGGTCTCTTAAATGTATTAATTGCATATAGTTAGCTATGACTGGAGTCAATTTCACCCATATTATTAAAAGTGATGAAATATTTCCAAAAAGTATTCTTCTCCAGAAATAGCTTTGATGGAAAAATTTTGTCCAGTTCTACATCTCCAACAGAGCTAGGTCACTTTACAAGGATTGAAATCAATGGCCGTATGCCAATACCCACCAACCAGGCTTTAAGATCTAAAACATCAGGTAGAGAATAAGCAATAGAAACACATTAACACTTTCACAGTTAGAAAATTTTGTTTTCATGCAAATTTCCAAGGAATAAAAAATAAAGAAAGAAGTAAAGAAAATAATATAAATATTCTATAACAATCACCCACTTCCACGGAGATACTCAGAACAGAACTGCATGATGATCTCCTGATATCATTTCCTAGGAATTGTCCCCTCATGGGTGATGGATTCAAAGGATGGGAGGAAGATGGGGAGGGTATAGATCTGCAAGGAAAGGTCACAGTGAGCCTGCAAATATAGGAGTCATCTGCAAGAGCACGTCCTGTCTGTGCTCATCTGCTGGGTCTTCAAACACTTGTAGTAAACTCCTGCTGTGCTGCCTGTAGTGCTCCCTCGCTCTCCAGTGGGGAGGGAGGCCACTCTGCCTCGTTGACTTGGGGTTTAGTCCTCGGCCTCGGGTCACACTAGTGGGACTGAGCCGTAAGCAGTCTAGAGCTCTGGGCCCATCTGATAGAGTCAAACACACAACAACGGTCTGGGCCCCTTGTCCCAGCCCATGTGCGGGGCAGCGACTTGAGGTCTGCTCAACTGAATATGACACTTCTTCCATGCTGGTGGGAGGGCAGTATGTAAGTATAGTTTATACAGATAGTTTTAAAAATTAACAAGACATGTCAGATCACAGCACAAGGTGAAAGAGCTGCAGGGCATAGATAATTCTATTTTTTAACTTCTACGTTTGTTAAATACATAGAGATTTTATTTTAGGTTTGTAAATAAACTTAAAAATCAGACATTATTGGCCATTAAAAAGACAACATTTATGCACTGTGTGGTTTGTAAATATTGGCTTTTAATGGTGACCACTGTGATGTTGTCCATAATAATACTTTGTATTTGCTCTTCTTACTTAAAATCCACAAATTAATTTAAATCATATTTTGTATTATTCTTCATTTACCTGCCCAAAGTTGTCTTCACTCCTGAGCCATCTAACCTAAATTTCAACCCTTGTCCAGTTATAAATCTTTCAAAAACTGACTTTATATAAATGGGATTGTTGGGAGACCTGTAACTGTAGCAGCCCTGTCCATTGCTGTTATAATTAAGTAGGCTGTTTAAATGGCATAAATTTAATTAAGCCACATAAATACTTTGGGAGCCAAGTAAACTGAAGCGGGGAAGTGTTCCAGGGCCTTTTATAGCTTCTGCCATGTGGCGGGAATCCCATTGTTCTTACTGTGGAAAATTACAATAACAAGATGGTGTTTGGAGTCACATGGACAAGTCACATGTCCATGCATAATTTTGCCTAGTCACAGCAGGAAAGTCCATTAAGAGTAGATGGGCATCTTCCATTGTAAGTTAAGTGCTCCTTGATGAGCCACTTAATTTGAATAGTCCCTCCAAGATGTGCTGGCTAACTATCTTGTGGGCGTTACCTCAAGAGCAAAGATTTGAAATACAGGTATAGAGCCAATACTCATAACTTCAAATACAAAAATGATACATGCAGACAAATAGCATAATCATATTCAGCGAGTCATAATCTTTCCATAGACATCTTACATGCCACATTTTGTACAAGGTTTGTTGCAAATTATACAACAGTGGTTGCAACAATGATCTATATGGTCATATTTTAATCAGATAACATAACAGCCCCACCTTCCATTTCTTGTATGTATCCCTTTTGGTTTTTAGATAGCTAAAAATCTCATTATGAAGACACATTGGTCTCCTGTGGCTCTTATATTTCCTCTGCATTAGAGTAGCTTGATGTTGAGCCTCTAGTGTTACATCTTTTAGGAACTGCCAGCCCCCTTTCAATTCCTTTTCTTCCTAACTGTTTTTTCCCTGGGACCTTGCCTACTATTTCCCTGAGTTGGTTGAAATCTGCCTTTTTGAAGTCCAGTGTGCTTGTTTTGCTGTTCTCATGTCCTCCTTTCCTTAAGATTTTGAACTCTATCTGATCATGATCACTTCCTTTGTGTTTGAAACTAATTCATCCCTGTTGGGCAAAACCAGATCCAAAATGCATGACCCCGTAGTTGTTTCCTTCACTTCCTGATTCAGAAAGTTGT